AAAAAAAAAAAAAAAAAAAAAAAAAAGAAAGACACCCTTCCCCCGCCAAAATCCAAGAATTATAACTTTAATATTTAAAGGAGTTACTAGGTATTTTTTCTAACTTCTAGATCTTTTCTCTGATAAGTTCTAATGCTATCTTTTATAAGTTATATTCAGCTGAAGATATATAAATTTTAAATGTCAAGAACAGTTTTCTCATATTACTCAAATTGACAAAATATAATGCAAGATATAGAAAAGATATGACATTAAATTTCACTAAAACAATGAAACAAAAATGAGAAATTATATACAATTTAGAAGTTAGACAGTAGCTGACTGTAATAGTCAATAGATATATTAACATGTAACATTTTCAATAATTTAGACTATTCAAATTTCAAGATAAAGACTCTGCAAAGCTCAGCACAACTACCTTTTTAATGAGTTTTTTATTTTCTTCCTAGTTGTACCCAAGGGTGAAATTCTAAACGTTTAACAACTAGATGGCACTGTTAATCATGGTAGATGCACGTCTATGGAACTGAAGCAGTCCTACCAGTTAGCCCTCAAGCCTGGTGTGGTCATAGGTGAGGCTTTTTGGAGGTGGCTAGATCTAGGCTTTGTGATACTGGGATTAAGGGTTTGTAGTGCAGGATTAGTTCACTAATTAGTTTATCAAAATCTGTGTCTCAATAAGGAAAGGGCCCATGCCACCTGTGGGTAGCAAACCTCAAAAGGTTTGTAGCTGGGACAGGATAAGAGGGAAAGGGAAGCTCACTGCTTCCTCCCTGCCTCACTGTGGACTACTTCTCCTCCGCCATGTCCCTCTGCCATGCTACACTGCCCTGGACCCTACTGAAACTTGTACAAACTGTGAGGTGAAACAAATCTGTTTTCCTTTAACTTGTGGATCTTGAGAATTTTGTCACAGCAACAAGGGAGCAACTACGACATGCCAACTGAATGTATTAATTATTTATTTCCACAAGTGCTCTCAAAGGAACTATTTCTTGAGCAATAATATGAAGTTTCCTTGAAATCAAGTATGTACACTGATTATGTTCTAAAAAACTATACCAGGAATTACTACATCTGTTATTTTGTTCAATTTAGTAATGCTTTAGCTTACTATTGAGAGAATTTAATCAAAGAATTGTAAAATAATGAAGCATACTCAGAAGTTACATTAGAGGCCACCCCCATGAATGCCAGAATCCTTTCTCTCCTATATCTTTTGTACCAAATAGGCAACTTGTACACAGAACATAAAATCTTTGGAACTTTAGCTTCCAAGTTTTAGCTCCACTAGTTCCTTTTGTTAACCATTATTTTAATTATCTTTTGAGAAACATCCAGAATTTCTACTGTAAGTTTCCTAGGAACCATACCATGGACCCCTCCATTCCTGTTGCAAGATCAATTGCAGCTTCAGGCCAAGTGGATCATGAAATAACCATGGGCCAGAGGAGTAAATTATGAGCCAGGAGAGCCTGACATGCTAAAAGCAAAATATCAAATTTCTGACTAACTCTAATTTACAAGAAAGACTATCTTAATAAATACAATTTGCAAGTTACTTGAATCTTTAGGTTGCTACTATGATCAGATTTTTAGTGCAGGTGTCTACCATACATGGCAGTAAAGTAATGAAATTTAGTGTGTTTCATTTTTAGGTGAGGTTTGTTTATTTATTTTGCAGTACTGGGGATTGAACTCAGGACCCTGTGCTTGCCAAACAAGCACTTATTCCATTGATCTATCTCCCTGGGCCCAGTTTATTTATTTTTAAGTGAGGTTTATTTTTTGTTTTTGTTGCCAAGGACTGAACCCAGGGGCTTCCAGCTTGTAGGCAAGGGTTATCCTACTGAGCTAAATCCCTAGCCCCAGTATGTTTCATTTTTAAAAAGCATTTCTGGGCAATAATCACAACTTGTAAAAAGAAAAATTAGTATGAAATTGATTGGAGCATTTCCTTAAAACTACAAACCCAGCCAAGCACCAGCATTTAAATAGACCTAAAAGACTGTGCAATGCTATTATTACTTGGGTGCCAGAATTTCAAATGGTATTTAACACTACTGGATTTTCTTTTTCTTTTTCTTATTGACTGAACTCCAGGGCCTTGCACATGCAAGCATGAGCTCTACCACTGAGCTACGCTCACAACCCCCATGTGATCTTTTCTTTCTGAAACTTAAATGAGCTAGCATTTGTATAAGCTTTAAAACAGTGTATACTACAATGTGTTTTAAAAAACAAATATTAAAGTACTTTAAAACAGAAAGATTATTTTAACTTTAGACTTTATTGAAAAAAGATAAATGCTTTTCCAAAGCTGCTAAACTAATGCAACTACCACAAGTTCAAAGAACTAAAAAAATCACAAACCTTAATTTTAAATTAGGGTAAAAATTTTAACTTTTATTAATTTATAAAATTGACTAGGGGATATTATATAAAAATTGGTTTATATATTTATAGAATAAAATAAAGTTTTATAAAAATATGCTTTTAAAAATTAACCACCTCTTTTCTGTACATGTTAAAATGGCTTCAGCAAAGATACAATCTGATAGATCATTTTTTAAAACAACAAAATGTGGAAAGGCAACAAAATATGCATCTTTTTCACCCATGCATTTTCTTTCTTAGTGCATAGAGCTTCTATCACAACTATGGGCTGGGCCCAGACCAAGAAACAAGAATGGGGTTATATTTACTTTGTTGTGGACAATTTTGATGTAAAAACAAAGAATCTGAGAAGATGATCCCATTTTCAGGTATTTATGATTATTTGTATATGTTGGAAATGATATCCTAACAAATTCTATGCTGAGTAGTAATTTAATATCAAATGGACAAGTTGGCAGTTGTAAGAATATTTTACCTAGTTAACTGCACTCAGTTGCCTTTTAGTCTATAAACTTCCTTTTCCTTTTAAGAGGGAATTTATGTAGTTAAATAGCTTCAAATAATTTATTTTTAGTTTCCTTAAGAGG